AAGCGATTGAAACGAACGGTCGACAAGCATGAAGCGTCCCCGAGAGTTGTGCCAGGTACTTAGAGGTAGAAGAAAGAACAGAGAGTGAACGATCTCTGGAAGTGGAAATTCTCGAAATTACGTCAAGAGCGATTGGTGGAAAGCGACGGAGTCGTAGCAACTCCCGTTTGTTCCACGTTGCACGGAAACTTGCGTCGATTTTGTCTAACGCTTTCGGGGGGCTTGTTTGGCAAGTCTCCTCGCAGTCTGCTGTTTAGTAGCCGCGCCGGTTCGAGATGTGACACCATTTCGGCGACTTATTGTTACGATCTCTTGGCGGCGAGTCAGGAAACGGATCCTTCCTGGAAATGACCGATGAGGCCGGGTTCGAAGGGAAATGTACAATAAATTGGACAAATTCAATCAGGTCTGATAAGAGGGAATCGAGTCTGGGCGTCGAAGCGCGATCAGGCGTACCAATTTGATTATTGCACGTTACTACAATAGATGAGTCATTTCATTTGATCTCGCGCAGAGGACGTTGCCTCGGCTCGACATTCCTCACGGCTGGCGTAACGCGTGCCCGCGTTAAACGGCTCAGGAATCCCCTTTTTGACCCGTCAAATAAAGTCGCTGCATTAATTATCCCACCGAGCACCAGTCCTCCAACCCTCGAGTCTCGAATATCAACGTCGTAAATATACAAATTCTTATTGCATATCCTTTCAAATTCATGGTCGAATAAAAATCATTTGAAACCGCGGCTTCCGGCACAGCTTTACGGCTTACGGGCGAAACACGGAATATAAAAATTGAGCGAATTTTAGACAAAAGAGAATATGTTAAAACCTTTAAGCTTTGCAAACACCGCGTGTACGCGTCATGCCCGATAGGGAAAAAGATTAAAAAGAAGTAAGAGGATAATCTCGCGAAATGCAAAAAGAGTTTCGGTCCGAAAATAGCGCGCGGACGAAATAAAATATTCTTACCAGACGTGCCAGGCTAGAAGTAGAAAATTCGGATTTAATCTCGATGAACAGACATTTTTAACATTGAAGCATTTGTTGAAGACCTATTTCTATCTTTATTATAAATAATGCGGAACAGAAGGGCGAAGGAAATGGTATCGGAAAAATGGAACCGGTATCGTATATGTGGGTCACTGCGTATCTCGGCGACGTTTTGCACGATCACATAACCTGCGTGTAATGCGAGCCATTAGAGCCCGAGCGAGGGCCGGCTCGACCTTAATTGCGGTTGTTTCGACGAGATATGGTTTAACATCGCGCCCCTTTTACTTGACAGCAATTATCCTCGAGGTTGACGAACGATTCGTTGATGATTCGACCAGGGAATCCGTTCTCCTCTCCCTGGACCGAGTCACGTCTATTTCTGTACATGATCATTACGATTTTACTCGTGTCGAGTCACGTCCTTTCGTTCAAACGTACTTAAAGATGGGCTATAAGTCAAAACGATGAAACAAGCTTGAAATTTTGAATTAATAGAAGATTGAGAAATAGAATTAAGGATGTTTGGGCTATAAGTCAAAACNAAAATGCATAGAACCTTTCTTACAAAGAACATCAATTCCTACAGTTTCCATATAAAATTTTTTCGCTAACCTGAATAATTAATTAAAAACTAAAATTGTTTATTGCAAAAATTTTTCCTTGGTCCTAGCGAAAAATATTTCAAACAAAAGTTGTATCTCCGTCAGTTACAAATTATTGACTGCGTTTTGAGCCACACTAGACCCCGTTCGCCGTCCCAACGATTACACAGATCCTGCCACTCTCTAATAGTATCTCCTCGGTGCCTGGACACGATCGAATTTCGGTTCTCGTGCACAGATATTTACACCATGTATTATTAGAGGTGATATTTCGCGGGCAGGTTAATTGGTAAGATTCGCAAGGCGAAGTTGATCCAGCAGAGCCAGTTAATCGGTTTACGTTCCATCTAATAATTAATTACGCTCGGGGCCAGTTAACGAGCGTAGCGAGCCAGGCTTTTTCGACTCGTGTCGTACGGGTAATAAGCCGCTGATCCTATTTCCCGGCATTGAACGTGCAACGCATTCGTCACCTCGAATTATCCCGGCAAGTGTGTCGCTGACTGGTAATTACATACATACTTGCTCGCAATTAGCGAAACAAACAGCTGTGCGGCGAGGCGTGGCTGCGGACACACTTTTACCGCTTGAACCTCCAAGGAATTCATGAACCAGAATTAACTGATACCATTTTCCCACGGTTTATCAGTGATTACGCGTGTAGCGTAGGTTTAAGGATGTATTGGCTATACAGTCAATCCCAAAAGTTTATGTATCTTAGAAAAACGCATTTCCTGTAATTAAAAATAGTGCACTTTTCTTCTAATTTCGATATTTAATGAGTTACATATGATTATATGGCATTTTATTGATGTTGACAAAATCCGACCATCCCAGTGTCGAAATGGCGAACTTTTGGAAAAAAATTTCGTTTTTCCTCAATAACTCCTAAACCGTTGGTTCTACGGGAAAATTGCATAAGACCTTTCTTGTAGAGGACGACGAGATCTACAATTTCTTGCTTCAGACATTGGACACAGTTTTTTATTGTCTTACGACCCAACCTTAAATGACATTGCGAAAAGATTGTACAATAACTGAAACGTAGGAAGTATGAATAATTTATTTCTATAATTGAATCAAAGGAGTAGCGTACAAAATTTCTTCAAAATTGGCTTCTCGTCCCGTTCTTCTGTTCCCTCCTCTCGAGGAGAATAGAAAAAGCGTGAGACACTTATCTCTGGTTTGCGGGCCACGCGATCTTCTCGCTGTAGGTGATGCTTCTTTTCCGCCCTTACGACGCGTCTCGACGTCTCTTGGTAGCGTGGCGCGGCGCGGCGCACCCTCGCGTCCCGGTAGGGTGGCTGACTCGTTAACAACTCGTCGTTACTAATTAGTGCGAGAGCCGGGGGTCGATCAGAACCAATTAAGACCGACTCAGCGCCGGTGTGCTTTCCTTGTCAATTGAAATCCGCACTTTGTTGCGGCGATTAAGCCACCGACACGGCGTCCTTTCCGCCCTGTCCCATCCTGTTTCACGTTCCCACTTGAACCCGGCCGAACTTTCGCCGATCAAGATGAACGAATTTAAGGACGTTAGTCCCAAAATCCATTTTCTATAGAATGTTTTGAAATTTTGCATGAGTATTCAATAGAGCATCACAAATATATGTGTAAAATCTTAGAGAGATCTGATGATTGGGAGAGTAGCAATAAATTATCGAATTCGCAACTTTACCATGTGAAAACGAGAAAAGGCCAGTAAAATGATGGATTTCAGTAATTTAAGGAAAAACGGTTCTATAGATATTTTCAAAAAACTGACACATGCTAAATTAACTTATTACAATTGTATTAAAAAAAAA